GAGAGAGAAAATATAGCCGTGTTTCATCGTGTTGTTCGTTCGCCACGCGAACGTGTCGTCGTAAAGATCTCGCGGAACGCACGAAAGTCACCTGGACGTTGGCTAAACGGTGCCCTTTCAATCCAAAGCGGCGACACTTGAAGTCCCTACTTAGGATTTGTCGGGTGGATTGACAAATCGAGGCCAACAACGTTGCTTGGCCGCGAGTGGAGAGGAGAAAGAGTTGGAGGGGACGGGGGAGGGAGGTGGATGGATGATGGGGACGCGAGAAAAAGAGGCGTTGAAAACGGCAGTCGTTAGTGGAACGACGTGTAATTAATTCGGACTAACGAACGTGGGCTTCGCTTTCGAATTTTCCGACCCTCTTACGGCGCCTTTTGCGCGCCTGTCTTTTAGGAAATTGGCGGGAAATCCCGCATAATTTATTTTCTTGCTCGCTCGTGTTTCTTTTTTCTTCTCCTTCTTATTCGTTTTCTTCTCCTTGTCTCTGTTGAAAGAGATTAAAGAGTAAGGTTAGACGAAGGAGTTTTTTCGTATATATATTATAGAAACACGATCTACAAATACTAATGTCAATAATGTAATTTATATCTGTATTTGTAGATTGTTTAAATATAATATATTAAAATTTAAATGTAAAATCGTACGTGGATCGATTATACGGAAGATCTATAGGTAGCTACGATTTCAAAGATTGAATCACTTTCCACTTCTACAATCATCGTGGCGATATAAATTTGCATATAAATATCCGCTAATAAATTTCTGCGAGGGAAGTGAATAGTGGAGCACACACTGGATAGAAGTGGAACACAAGAGGAATCGTTGAGCCGTAAAAAAGCGGTCGTGGATGAATGCAACACGCGTTGATAATTATCGATCGTCTCTCTCTCTTTCTCTCTCTTTCTCAGATAATAATAAAAACTATCGCAATAGCTTGTTCTCGTTCCATCATCGCGTAATCGAGCGCCGCGCGCGCGTATTAAATTTGCATATTATAGCAGTCTCGTGGCGAAGTAGACACGAATTATAATCGATTGCACGATTGTTCGTCACATCCTGATTCGAAATTTTATCGATAAAATGAAGTTTTTTTTTTTTGAAATAAATTCGTGTATGCGTCTCTGTATCAAAATCATCGCGGTGTGACGCGATTGCCGAGTGAAATCGAAGACAACTTTGTCGAACTGTCAAACATTTTCGAGCGACAGCTCCGCCAGATGGAATATATTTTGGCATTAGTTGTCTCATTAGCATGAGAGTGTCGAATTCGTTTACTATTAATATACAAAATACTCGTATTATTTATCCGACGTGTAAATATCAATATAATTTTCGATAAGAAACCAACCTATCGATTTAACGTCGTCATTTAGAAAATAATTAATCTATCTCGAATAATCAAACTTTCGAATAATCTTCTATATACACGTATAATTAAATTTATTTTCATACGAATCACTTCGATTATCCGATTATTCGATTGTCCTTACATCTTATACCCTTCGAAATATCCGAGCTCTCTCGATGGATTAATTAAAATATGAATACGACTTCTCGCTGGAAAAAAATACTCGAATAATTTTTCTCGAAAAATCCAATTAAGAAAAAGAAAGAAAGAAAGAAAGAAAGAGCGTATATTCGTTTCGCGCAAAAGTTGAAGAAACGAGTTTGTTCGCGCGACGAACGGCAAGCCAGCAGCACAGCCGGTCGTCCTCTCGGTTTCTCGCTGCGAGGAAAAAGAAGATCAATTGCTCGAAGGTGAGCCCGAAGGTTACGCCTTTCGTTTTTCGCCATAGAGGGACAGATCGTCTTGCCTATTTAAGGTGGAAAATTCACTCGGATCGTTACCTATCGGCGCGCCATGTGCGTCGATCCTAGATCCAACAGGGATCGAGAGAGGCGTGCACTCGCCGTTGCCGAGCATTGTGCAATCGCACGAGATCGTAACAGTTACTTAAATTAACGGACCTGCTCGTTATCTCGTGTATATATATGTATATATATATACGGGGCCCAGATCTCCGTCTCGTGATTAATTATTATCATCGTTTTACACGCGTTACGCATAGGTGAACCGTGGAATTTTTTCCCCCCGAGATGGATCTCGTCGCGCTAACGAATCGTCAGGGATCGCCGCGTTATCTTTATTTTCGGGGACGTTCCTTCCGCGTTTTAATTGAATCGTGACACTTGGATTTTTGGAAAAGCTCCGTTACTCCGAAATCTAAAGATTCGATGGAAATATATTTAAAAAAATTTAAAAATTTAAAAATTCTCGTGCAGTATGCGTTCTTTTTTCCTTCGATTCCATTTGAATCCCCTCTTCGTATTTCAGATACCGCCTTTTCTCAAATTCCTCGGCTGAATCTATAACACGCGACAGATCCGCTCCAAGGAGTCTAAAACAGAAAAAGAAGATGCATGAATATAAAATCGAGACGTTCTAAACGTCCCACGTCCCCTGTCGCGTAGATCACGCGAATCGCGTGTCACGAGAACTGCTTTGCGGTGTCCGCAAAAAGAAGCGAGTTCGTCTCGTCTGTGCAGACGTCGTAAATTAACCAACAAGTGTGTATATTCATTAAAAGAGAAAAGAAAGAAAAAAAGCAGTTCTCTGCCTCTCGACGAACCCCAATGCTGTTTCTATCGGGATGAATCCCTCGATGGTGGAAACACAACGTTCCACGACTTTGTTTAATTTCACGTGCACCGTCTAATAAATATAATTACGCGGGTTGCGTAAGCATGCCGCGGATCGCCAGGCATTCCGCCACCTATTTTCTTGCCCGACTCGCCCTAAGGCTGCGCTTATGACCTAATCCGCGATTAGATCTGGCCTCCAGTGACGAGTGAGAGCCTTCAGGATCGAAGATTTTATTATCTTTGGCAAGGTTTTTTTGTTCGAGGGTTTTTCCAATTTATTTATTTATTTTTCTTTTTTTTCATTTTAATTTTCAATCGACAAGGAAACGAATTTTTCGCTCTGTTAAATGATCAATGAAATTAAGTAGAAGGAACACCTCGCTCTTCGACGTTCTTTCAACGTACAATTTCTTGTCGAAATTTTTCTAATTTAGTCGAAGATAACAGCGACTTAAAACATGAAGANAAAAAAAAAAAAAAAAAAGAAGGATACCTGTGGTGTTTGTCTCTGCACAAAGCATGGCACGGTCGTCCGCCGCCATTTCGTTTGTGACGGCTGGATCAGCCTGTTTTTCTAACGTAATTGAATTTCGCCCCGCGAGCCGCCATTCCCTTTGTAATTGACCCCCCATACCCGTTCCATGACGTAGCTTCGCTTACGTGAAGGAATTGCCACCAGGTGAAAAACTTGTTCGCCAAACTTTCCTCCAAAACTTTACTTTTGAACGTCCTCCAATTGCGGGCAAGAAACCGTTGTACTTGTCGCGACACACTCTGGGAGGTCTAAATTCCCTCGAAAAAGGGAGGGGGGGGGGAGGAAAGGAAAAACGTCACGGTCGATTCACCTGTCGTGCTCGAGTTTTTCTTATCTTCAATGTATTACACATCCTCCATGTTATCATCGATTAAGCTTCTTCTGATAACAGCGTCGTAATAAAATTCCACGTTAAAGTAAGATGTAACGATTTTTAATAGTCTCAAACACGAATAATTTAACATTCACGAATATTATTAAAAGAATCTCCCTGCCTCGAGAGATTCAAACGAATAATCTCGAATAAACGTTCTTCGCCAACGACACTTCGCCCGACAAACAGGTGGCAAACAAGGATATCCACAAATTCCAAAGTTCTACACTTCTGAAACATCCCCCCTCTTGCACAAGAATTCGGTCCCCACGCAAACATCTACAATATCTACTCCAGATTCCATTTTCCTCTTGTACTCCTTTGCCATCTTTCCATCCTTTGCATCGTCGAGGTCCGTTCACGCGAAAGAAGCTGCTAAAATTCAAATATCCACCGCGTTCCAAAGCAGGACGGATCAAATATAGCAGAAGAAGAAGAAGAAGAAGAAGATTTCCCGGGAACGAGTGGCCCCAAGGCTGCTTTGATGTTAACGCGGCCGTATCATAAAGTGATTCGCATTCTGCAAGTGCGAGATCAGATAAGATAGACCGCGGGATGCTGTAGTCGGATGCGTTTTTTCCATCGAGATCGGCATCCCCAACCCTGTAATCTGCTGGATGATGAAGGCTAGCCGCGCTCGCTCGCCCGCTCGCCATTTTGATTTCTCCGGATGATCGTTTCTTGAAACGTATATACACACGAGGCTTAAATAGCTTGGTGCTGTTGTGCTCCGTGCCTCGTGCCGAAACGTTCTGAATTTCTTTTGTAAACGTACGAATGATTCACGCTCACGTTTATGTTTACTTTCGCGGATAATTTGTCGTGGAGAGGGGGATTTGGTGTGTTTTGCTTTCACACGATAATACGTAAATACGTCGCCGTATCGTGCTTATCCTTGGATATTGATTATTTATTTACAGGGTCAGGTTGATACGGAAGTATGATATTTTGATCACTTCGAATCCGATTCGAAGTTTAAAAATGCTGAAATTTGTATTTTAAGGTATAAGGTGGACGAGTTTCTTCGAAATTGAAAAATCATTTTTAAATCTCGTTCCCTGCCAATATAATCAGAAAGGTCAATAAGATTGGAATCGATTCTCGTTTCGATCAATTCTTATTTTCCTTCGTGTATTATATATCGAATCTGCATATAACAACGTGCAAGTTGAGATAACTGAATTACGCGTAAGCATGTTGCATCAATCCTATTTCTTTTCTTTATTTATAGGAGATTAAACTCGATACATTGAGATCAGGGTATATATGGATTCAATAACGAGTATACTTACACGTAAGATGATGCTGAGTAATTCGAATTCGTTCGCTGGGATTTGTGAAATTTCTTTCAAGACATTGCATTTTCTTACCAATCTTCAACTTGAATTCTGAAAAGAAAGATTTTGAAAGATAAAGAAACCTAAAATAGAACAATCCTAGATTACTTTGTTTCTTCATGTATTATTGTAAACAATAAATGTAATTTTTAAAAATTTATTTGTATGATATTTTAACCGCTTCGGAATCGAGAAAAATAAATATTTCCTGATTCTGAAATTTCCATAAATGAGACATAATTTTTTATTTTGAATTCAATCAAACACCATTCAACAATGCCATCAAGTACATCGTATTATAAATTTTTAGAACAATTCTTGAAACGAATTGCAATTTCTAAACGTTTACCTCAACGTCGAAAGAGATTTCGAAATAAGATTGGTGACGCAACGAGCCAACGAGTTTAATTGCCGGTTTCTTTCTGTTGCAGGTAAGCATCGAACTTTCATCTGCATCCACTTGTTACCAGTTCTCGGGAAACCGTAAGTGATTCACTAGATTCCACGCTATTACACTCTCGCACGTGTTTAATTTTCGAGAAATCACTTGGCGCCCTTGTTTCTATTCTCGAGAGAGAACCTTGATCAGCGTTTTACGATCAGCAATTGGCCTCCTTGTCATCTCTATCCATTATTGCAACTGATCCTTCGTCGAGTTCGATATATCACTGTTATAATTTCTCTCTGAAAAAAATCGATATAATTTGTACACTGCGAATTTCGTTGCGTATTTCGCCACGAGCCGTTATCGAGCGAAATTTTGCCATCTAAATTAACATTGAAGAGTAGAGAAAACATTTGCAGGAACTGTAATACCGCAATTTACAACTTCCCCGCTTATCGATCCGCCGATCTTATTGCTCGATAAATCGTTACGCAACAGCGTCCGAAGAAAATGGACTTTTAAAATATCACGCGTATATCCACGGTGAAAGCACCTCAAATACCTCATCTTAACGCAACTCTCTCTCTCTCTCTCTCTCTCTCTCTCCTCTCTCCACCCATTTCCCCGGCCGAGAAAAAAAAAAAATTCCTCTTTAAACGTCATATCATCGTGTGTACCACCACCCCTCGGTTCATTGTTTCGCGCGCCACCATTCAAAGAGGAGAAACTGCGTAATATATCGGCGAGGAAACAATTGCCCAAGGAATTTCCACGTGAGTTTTGAACTCGTATCCCGGCGTAGGTATAATTCACTCGCGCATTCGAGTTCTGACTGCTGCTTAAAATACCGGCACTTAATTACGCGGTTTAAAGGGCCCGGCCATTTTTTAACGCCCATAAACCTGTCTCCTGATCCGGTCATCCCCTCGGTTGCATAATGCTCCGTCCCTCTCCTTGTTGCTCCTTCTCTCTCGCCCATCTTCCTCCTCCCTTCCCCCCCTTTGGTAGCTCGGTAGCCACTGATTGCGATTTATAATGTCAACCGGCCGCTCTGCCAACCCATTGTCAACCGGATCGGTCTCGTCGCGGGCGAAATCCTCGCCTCTTTGCTTTCTACATCGGATTTGGATCGCTTCCGAAGTTATATTTTAGGTAATTACGTAACGTCGAGAACGTTGAAGTTTTTGGTCAAGTTTCTTCGAACGGTATGGTATAAGAATAAAGCGTGTCACTCTATCCTATTCGTTGCTTAACAATTCGGATGTATCCCATTTTTTTCATTTCCTTTTATCTCATTATATTATGATTCAATAGTGTTTTCAAGCCTCGAATCGATATCGTGTATCGTTTTAATAAACGTTTAAATTTTCCTCCTTCCCCCTTGGCTCTCCACGTCGATTAAACAACCTACAACAGATTAAATATTAGTTTTTAACGCGCAATGATCTAATCTTCGCGAATAAAACTTTTGTGGGAGACTTTTCTTGCACGCGCTCCAACTGCCCAAACAGACGCAACTCGTTTCGAACGAGCAAAAAAAACAGATCTAAAACAAATACATCAGGTATCCCTGATCAGAGGTTACGAGGAATTGGATCGAAGAGAGAGAGAGAGAGAGAGAGAGAGAGAGAGAGAGAGAGAGAGAGAGAGAGAGAGAATCAGGACAGAAGTGGAAGTTCATGGAACGGAGTGAAATACACGGGAGGATGAAAAATGAAGAGCGAACAAGGGGCGAAGGGAACACGGTGGAAGTACATAGAGAATCGAGGATGAGGAGAAGCGTAACACGAGAGAGAAAGAGGAAGGGAGAGAGAGAGAGAGGTTGGTCGAAGGAGGGGAATAAATTAAAGAACGGGTTCTCCCTCACCGCAGGACCTCATTACGTCCAACTTCATTTGTTTCCATTTTAATCGGGGGCCCCCGTCTGGACCAGAATCCAGTACCAGAAACCAGAACCGCAACGGATACCTGGCACCATCGAATGCAGCCGGATTCTCCTCGCGGACAAGGATGTCTTTGGATGCCACCGCGTACCAATCGTTTCCTTATGAGATCGTTTAGGGAGGAACGGTGATTTGTTTGAAACGAAACTCTTCTTTCGTCGTTTTTCTTTCTTTTTTCTTTTTTTTTTTTTTGCGCGCGCGTATTTAATCTCGAAGATTCACGCGATGTTTCGAGATTCTATTTCTCGAGTTCTTCATTTGTATTTGCCAGTATGGGATACTGAATGAAAGTGATTTCTCCTAATTTTATTAATAGTTGTGAAGCAACTATCCTTGCATTCTAAATATTTATTAATATATTCATATTTTCCATTTCCAGTCTGATATTTATTATTGAATTACAAATTTTGAAAATCGACAATCTGAAATATAGAATCACTAGGTTATCTTAAAGGTTTCTCTATGGGAGCAGGAATTTGAACTAACCATGGAGGGAGGAAGGGAGGGAGGGTAAAGGCGCGTTAAGCCACTTTTACTGCCGTACTGATTTCGGCGATCGTTTTACGGACACTGCCAAAGGAGCAAGCTCTAAAATGACCCTTAACAATAAACTTTTCCCGCGTGGCACGCGGGACACGGGAGGAAACGGTTGCCTCGGAACGAGCCAGAACGACGGGATAACGAGTCACGGAATAACGAAAGAAGGGGGTGACTCGGGAAGAGGGGAGAAAAAAAAAGAAGAAGCAGAAGCGAAGAAAGAGAGAGAGAGAGAGAAAGAGAGAAAGGGGGGAGAGAGAGAGAGGTGGAGGCAAGACAATGGGGGCAGAGGCAAAGCCGCCTTTATTACAGAGCACGGCCACGATGGACAGTCAAACGGACACCTTGTGCCTTCTCTTTTATCGGTCCGTTTCGTTTTATTACCGTGGCGAAATCCCGGTCCAAATTAAAGCGAGCTTCGCGAATTTTCGGCCCTAATAGCGGCCGCGCTTAATTAAACCATGCTTCGACCTCGTGCGCGCTTTTGTTCCACGCTCGAAAGTCGAATACTTGTACGCGCGCCCTACGTGCCCGATTTCTTTAGTTGTGTTTCCTGATCCGGTTGAGAAAGTGGAACAGTATTCCTTCGTCTTTTTCTTTTCTTTTTTTTTTTTTTGAAATTACAACTCTGTTTCGTAAACAGCTAAACAACTTGTCAAATTTCTTTTCGCATTTATATAGAGTGATATTATTGGAGAAGAAGAACGTTGTTACACAGTGAAATAATTATGGAAGATTAACGTATCTTTTTTTCTTTTTAAAACATTGAGACACACTAACGCATATTATCACTCCTGTCTGTGATATTTGTTCTTTTTTATTTCTTCTCTTTCCAGATAAAATAATCTTCACTCGCGAGAATCATCGAGTTACATAATTGTTTACACTCGTCGATAAATTAAATACGCGTCACAAGTCTATATATGTTACAATGCTTATCTATATCTATATATGTTATAATGCTTCAGAGGCTTCGTTCGAATCGTACGTTTCTCGAAAAAAGAAAAAAGGAGAAGAAGATTGCAAGAAATTGGTGCGAACGAATCCACGAATCCCTCGACACCCGAGTGAAACAGATATTCCCAGAATTCAGCAAGAAGCGATATTTCCATCATTTTGGATCGACAGCCGCGTGTCGGGGGTGCAAAAATTTGTCGCGTTGGGAATTGTCGAATACGAGGAGCGAAGATTGGGCCGATAAGCAGGGCCGGGGACGGGGTACCCGCCAAAGCCCCTCTTCCTGCCTCGGCGATCGATCAACGAGATAAATTCGGGCCCCGTTTTTCTTCCCCGGGCCCGTACGTCTTCGCCGTGTCCCAAACACGTCCCAACACGAGATGCCTCTTACTCACCGCCTCTGAATCACCGCCGACGATCGACCTTGCCCACCTTTAATCATCGATTAATTCCGCGCGACGAAAGCTGCGAACCACAGCTCGAACGATCTCGAAGCGCGACGCTCTCCTCGCGTACCTGGAAATCGGCGCGGTCGAAGCCGATCCCGCGTACGTGCCGCGAATTAATTCGACGGCGACGTCTCCCCGATGAACCTTGGATCGTTGCATTAGACGCGGAGGAGAAAAAGATGCGGAGGAATATAATTCGAAGCGGTATATAATTCCTTTGTTCCAATGGATTCCTCTCAGTTGTTTACGTTACTCGATTTTTAATTAAAATTCCTCGTTCGAGGAAGGAGCCAGATTAAGAGAAAAGTTTACGAGTCTCTTCGTTTTTTTTTTTTTTTTTTTTTCCTTTCATTTCGTTTTAGTCTTCTCAAAAGTTTCGCGAACGTGTGACATGTTCGTTCGGAATCTTGAATTTGCTGTGAACGTGGCGAGAGGTGTTCGAAGGCCGTTAACACCACCTCGATTGAAACTCCTTACGGAGCAAAGACAAATTTAAAAAGAAAAAAAGAGGGAGAAAAAAGAAACAGCGTAAAAAGTACATCAAGATCGACGTCGATCGACATTATCGGTTGTTCGCCTGTATCGAGTCGACAAACCCCTAACGACACCGGTGCAAAGGACAAATAGGCAATTCTCGGCAATCTTCCAGTCACGAACGACCACTTTCCGATAATTTTCCAGCATCGTCGACCGATCGAACTTCCCGCTGGGATATACGCGTTTCATCGATTCGAGGCACGTTTCCCTCCGCGAAACCAACATTGTCGTTCGATCGAGCCAGTTTTTCCGATCGTTTAATCGATTTATCAAACATCGTCACGTCATAAGTCGGGCTTGTTACGGCCCCATCGGGTATTGTTCCCAACGAGGCTGATCATCGTTGGGGGAAAAAAACCTCTATTCTTGCTCGAGTCGCGCTTCGAAGGTGGCAGGTGTTCGAGGCGTAGCTAGGCCGCGAAAGCGGTTTCTAAGAAAGTTTTGCCATCGACCGCGAGCCTTTTCGTTTTTCCACCTAATTTCCTAACCTGTGCTACAGGAGGCAAACAGGTAATTCTTCCGTTGCGCAATCCGAGGCAGCGTTCTGAGAATATTTCCGCCCGATTGTGTCCCGGCGACGTTCCTCGAGCGCCTTGTTGTTCGTTGCCCAACCACCGAAGGAGTTTTGCTGGCTGGTATTTTGCCAAGTCTCCTCCACTCGTTCTGGAGGATTGTTCGAATGGAAATTGCGTGGAGGAGGCGTTGTGCGCTTGCAGGTTGTGCAACTTTCAAACAGAGGAGGGGACGGATGTGTGGGTCGTGGAAAAGTGCAACAGGTGACAATGACCGAAATGGAGTGTTTGCTTTTCACTTCGTCGTACACTTGACATCTAGCGACGCCTCTTAACAATATATATATATATATATATATATATATGATTTCCGCCAACAATTCGTGCTATTATTTATACATTTATATTGTTGTGTTTCGTATTTCTTCTCAATGCAATCTCGCGCACTTTATACGTTTAGATACACTCTTATTATCCAATTCCTCCAAAATAAACAATCAAACCCACCGAATATTATCGGTACTCTTCAAAAAAAAAAAAAATATCTTACGTTTCAATTCCCGAGTCCCCATTTCCAATAAATATCCTCCACTCTTATCCGGCCAGCCTATAAAAACGATCTCCTTGACGCACCGGTTGGTTCCTCGAGTATCTCTTCGGCATCGAAAACGGGGACCCCGGTGACCCCCAAGTGGCCCTTATACATACCCCCGGTGTCCACCGATAAATCGCGGTCCCCTCGAACAAAGCCTGCCGACCAGAAGTCTTTCCACGGAAGACTTTCTTCGAAGTGGCAACGAGTCGTCCGCTCGTAAATATTAAGAATATTTTATTTTATTAGCTTCCCCCTTCTCTCCCTTCCTGGCAAGGGTGTGAGGCGGCGCGGTGGAGAAGAAGAAGAAGAGGAGGAGGAGGAGGAGGAGGAGAAGGAGGAGGAAGAATAAGGGGGAAAGCGGCGTGTCACGCGTGTCCCGAGATACCGATCCAATAAAAGGAAGGAGAGGAAAGGGGGGAGCCGGGGAGGAGATTCGTGGTGGCGCGTTTCGGGGCCCCTCGCGGACACTTTTATCGAAGGAGGGACCCGCCATTGGGGCCGCGACAGGCAGTAAAATCAAGTGCTCCAGTTTTATGGTGTCGGATACAACGGCAGGAACACGTGTTTACACTCGGTCCACGGTCCATTGGCCACGTGACCACCTTCTCCGCGATAAATCTCGCGGGGCACCCGGCCCTTTTTGACTTTTCGCCCGATAACGGGCCGAGACCCCTTCGGCTAGGCGACGCACACAATATACACGGCTCCGAGGAACCGAGAAACCACCGATCATTGCATCGATAGAAAGGGTTAGTCTATTTTGTTATATCCAGCAAGCTGTCGTACAGGATATATGTTAATATATATATATATATATATGGCGGTGAATCTTTGGAGCAACTGACAACTTTCTCCCGACTTTTTCTCTAATTGAAAT